CTCATTATAATATTTTACTTTGTCTTCTCTGAGCTGCCCTTTGAAATCTTTTGTTCAACTCTTCATCATTTCTTCCATTTGTTTTAGCTACTCTATGTTCAACAGCAAGTTTTAGAGTGTCTTCTGACATCCATTTTGGTCTTTTCTTCCTTCCCTGTCTTTTTAATGACTTTTTGTTTTCTTCATGTATGATGTCCTCCTATTATCTGTCTGGTCTTTAGTCACTAGTGTTCAAAGCATCAATCTATTCTTGAGATGCTCTCAGAGACATTAGAAGGATTCAATAACCACTGTTGGCAATTTGCTTAGCACATTTAGCACAATTGGCCACCTGGCCAATAAATGCCAATATTGTTAGTTATTTTTATTAAGTACAAGATAGATATTTAAACACAGTTTCATGATGAAATAATTCTAGTGCTCAGAAAAAAATGTTCAAATTTCTATGGATACATTAATAATGATCATTTGTGCTATAAGCAGAGGCAGACTCAGACTTGCCATCTCTAGAGCCCATATTCACAAACACAGTGATCCTATAAAAGCCCTGAGAAAATGGGGACAGGATGAAAAGGAGGATAATATTTACGCCATGTGTTAAAAGAAGAGTAGGGGTTTTGTCAGGTGGACTGGGAAGGGAAACCATCCCAGGCTGTCATGGATTGAATTATATTCCCACAAAGTATGTGTCAACTTGGCTGGGTCAAGATTATCAGTGGTTTAGCTATTATTTAACGATGTAATACTGTCAATTAAATAATGATGTAATCATCTCCCAAGCTGTGATCTGATATCATTAGCCAATCAGTAGAAAGGAGATTACATTGGGAAATAATACCCTCAATCAGGTTACAGCCCTGATCTCATGTAATGGGGAGTTTTCCTCTGGAATGGCCTGCATCCCCTTTTATCTTACAAGATGTTAAAGAAAGATAAACAAGGAGAGAGAGGGACCTAGTACTACCAAGAAAGAAGAGCCAGGAGCAGAGTATGTCCTTTAAACCCAGGATCCCTGCGCTGAATGCCTCCTACACTCATGTGTTTGGATGCCAAACACATGGAGATCTCCAAGAAACACTGGGCCCAGAGATGTTGAAAGGAGACAAGGAGTTGCCACCATGGCCAATAGAGACAGAAAGCCATCCCCTAGAGCTGGACTCTGAATTCAAACTTCTAGCCTTCTAAGCTGTGAGAAAATAAATTTCTGTCTGTTAAAGTCATCAACTCGTGGTATTTCTATTAAACAGTACTAGATAATTAAGATACAAGCAAATGGCCTAGAATGTGCAAATGTATGAGAGTTTGGCATGTCTTGGGAGCTACGAGTAGCATATAAAGCTGGAAAGTAAGATGAGATGTATTGTTGTTGTTGTTGTTATGTGCCGTCGAGTCGGCCCCGACTCATAGCGACCCCTCCTTGGGTTTCCGAGGCAGTATCACTACGGAAGTAGGATTGCCCAACCTTCCTTCCGAGGAGTGGCTGGTGGGTTTGAACCGCCAGCCGTCTGGTTAGCAGGCAAGTGTCTTAGCCACTATGCTACCAGAGCTCCCAAGATGAGATGTATATAGAGAGTAATAAAACTCTTTAGCAAGGTGTATAAATGCTTCGTGATCTGACCCCTAGCTTCCTTTCTGACTTCATATGCTATTATTACTCTCTATATACAAGATGAGATGTATATAGAGAGTAATAATAGATGAGATGTATATAGAGAGTAATAATAGCATATGAAGTCAGAAAGGAAGCTAGGGGTCAGATCACGAAGCATTTATACACCTTGCTAAAGAGTTTTAATTTTATCTTATATAAAAGATACAAAAGATATAAAGATATCTTTATTTTATCTTATCTTTAGAGTTTGCAGAAGTATGGTCTACAAAACACCAATGTCATAACATACTCCCCCCAACCCAAGAAAGTTAGGAAATGTTACATACTATATATCCCTCTTGGAGATTCCTAAGGCACATAAGTGAACCAAAGACTCTAAGAATTTCTACAGTACAGAATCTTACTGAACTTGCACTTAAGTGTTCTCAAACTCTTTGACCACTGATGGCTTTGTATCTAACATTCATTATTATCCTACTTTTGGAAGGGCTTCTCTGGACAATGGGGAGGGAGTGGTTCAAAACAAGAAAATCAAACATTTGGATGTATACTTTAGGAAGACTGCTCTGGGAGCAAAGTGAAGGACTGACTGTGGGAGAGAAGTAAAACTGGAGATCAGAAGTAAGAAGGCTGGTGCACTTAATCAGCTGAGAAATAATGAGAACCTGAACAGAGTGGAGGTAGAGAGGAGGAGCCCAATTTGAAAGATATTTAAGAGGGAGAATTGTCAGAACCCACGACAGACTAGATACGGAGGACAGGAAAAAGGAATGCATGAGTAACAAGGCGATGGTACAGTTAACCAAGATAAGGAACCAAAACCCAATCAAACTCACTGCCATCAAGTCGTATCTGACTCATAGCGACTCCTCCTTGGGTGTCTGAGGCAGTATCACTACAAGATTGCCCAATCTTCCTTCCAAGGAGTGGCTGGTGGGTTTGAACCACCAGTCTTCTGGTTAGCAGTCAAATGCCTTAGGCACTACACTACCAGAGCTCCCACGATAAGCAACAGAGGAGGAAAATTGAGTAAGGGAAAGAAATGAGTTTAATTTTAGACATGCTGAACCGAGGTACAGTCAGGGGATCTGTAGGAAACACAGGACTGCAACTCAAAGGAGAAGTCTGGTTTAGAAACAAATCACTATTGATCCCTGTGTGGGTGATACATGAAGCGGGGAATGGGCAGAGGAACCTAGGAGTCAAGGGGTAGATGGGAAAGAAGGAATTGCCTAAACAGCTGAGGAGTAATCAGAGAGAAATTTTAGAAGCATACTTATGAGAATATTTTCCACTTCCCTTGTTTTAAGTGCAGAAAAAAAATACTAGTTATCATCTATTGAGAATTTAATAGCAGGCAAAGGGCTAAGTGGTCTTTACATGCATCATTTCAAACACTTTCAGTAAGGGGCATTCAATTAAATAAATATTACATTACAAATATCATGCAACCTAGGTAAAAATCTCCATTCCTTCTTATAATCTAGATACTAGATTACATGGAGATTCCTAAGGCACATAAGTGACCTAAAGGCTCTAAGGATTTCTACCTGACTTCTTCTACAGTAAAGAATCTTACTGAACTTTCACTAACCTAGTGTTTTCTGAAACTTTTTGATCATGGACGGCTTTGTATCTAACATTCATTAGTATCTAACATTCATTAATATCCTACTTTTGGAAGGACTTCTCTGGGCAATGGGGAGATGGTGAAAACAAGAAAATCAAATGTTTGGATGTATACTTTAGGAAGTCTGCTCTGGAAGTTTAGTTTTTTTATGCATTTATTCTTTATCTCCCCAATTCACTTGTAAGTCCTTTGAGAGCAAGGGCTATGTTTCATTCTAGGAAAGACTATTAAGTTATAAACCTTGAAAAAACCAATAAGAACCATACTGCTAAGTGACCAAAGACCCAGGGTCTCTTTGGCAGGTTATATACACTATTCCAGGAGCTCTGATAGTGACTAAGGCACTTGACTGCTAACCAGAAGGCTGGCGGTTCAAACCCACCAGCCACTCCACAGAAGGAAGGTTGGGCAATCTATTTCCATAGTGATACTGCCTTGGAAACCCAAGGAGGGGTCGTTATGAGTCGGGACCGACACGACGGCACATAACAACAACAACAACAACATACACTATTCCAGTGTGGCTTCTGCTGCTAACGATTTAGAGTTTTCCTTTGGGGATTACCTTCAGAGCATGTTAATCATGAACACAGATCACGCCTTCCTTGATTATCCACATTATTCTCCACACTTACTCCAACTTTCTGGTTTTTCCAAAAGAGGAGGAAAAAAAAAAAGTCTCCCCTCAAGGAATGACTTATTAGGAATGGGGATATTTAAGAGAACTTAGCAGAGTCCTTGGAGTAAGAGTAGCTTCCAACATAGATGACACTCATGTGGAATGTGAAAATGCTAGCTTACTTTTTTTTCAAAATACAAATTGCATTACTTTATGGGTCATACCACCTATATCATACACTGCTATGTGCTAAGCTACATTTATCACCTTTTTGTGAAGACTATTCTAGCCTCATTATAATGTGGCCTTTGGGTGGTGAGTGTTAGTACTAACAAATTTTTAAATTTTAATGGGATTCACGAGGAGAATGGAAAGCTCCTGAGAGTAGGGGAGATGAAGGCTTAGTGCTGGGAACTGACCAGGGTGATTGGCGGGGATGGGGTAGGGGGATGTTATCTGTCATTATACTCTGGAAGCAAACAAATGAAGGCTGTCAGCTCCCATTAGCATCCTCTGATGCTCTCTACAGAGCCATATGGAGTGTGTGCAGGCAAAAGATTAGGGGTTTACACGGCTGAACTTTCCATGGAACAAGCCACCCACGGAAATAACTTACTTTTTTTTCAATAGCAGCTATTTAGTATATGCCACTGTGGACAAGTAACTTCCTGAGGGCTACTGGGGAGTTTCATGGAAAAAGACAGTCACCAAGTTATATATTAAACTACGTTGAATTTTCCTCGTGGTTCTAGGAAAAGCAAAATGTTGAACTCTAGGATACTGATGTGCTGCTAGACTTGGCAATAATAATAATAATAATAATAATAACAACAATAATAATAATAAAATCCATTTCCTCAGAAGACACATTTAATGAGGCACCTAGGGTCTAAGGTGATAAATTAGAAATTCAACTAAGGGCATCAGGCTTAGAGGAAAAAGCAGGAGCTTGATGAAAAATGCAAGCAGAGAGAATGAAATATTTTCTGTAAAGTGTTCATCTTCATGCTGACATATCTATGCTTGCTGATCATTTCAGCTATGATTGCTAAGTTTTTAATGTCACTCATCTGGGACTCTACTACATTTGTTCTGGGATACTGGAAATTAAGAAAAACAGAAGACTCCAGAAGGCTTACCTTGCCATCTTCTGTGTACACATTTTCATTATATCCCTTTACTATTGTTCGATCAATGAACAGGCTCCGCATGACGACAATCACTTTCAACACCTTTCCCAAGGTCACCTGTCAAAACACATATGTGAAAACTTACCCTTGAACCTGCAAATCACAAGTTGGCAAAACTACAAAAAAAAAAAAAAAAAAAGCTCATCTATCCATCCTGCTCCTGAAAGATGTACCAGAGGACATTTTGTGATAAGGCATGGAATTCCCCTTGTGCTGTCTTCCTAGCACATTTAATAACAAACTCTCAACAATGACAAGTTCTTCTTACAATTCCTTCAAGATGTAGTGGGTCCTAACTCACCTATCTGCCTTGAATTTATTTATATTTTTGGTTCAAAAACTCTCAGGATAAGTTTCACATAGTCTATCTGGTAAATAAAGTAAAATTTCCTTTTTGTCCCCCTGCCTTAAGAGTACCTTCTTCAAGCCTGATGGAACCCCCTGAGACTATGGCCCCTGGCTGCCCTTCAGGTCTGGAATTGAACCCACTCCTGTGGCTTCCAGCCAAACAAAAAGACAGGCATATCAGCTGAACACTTACATTAGGTGGATATCCTCCCTTGGAGAGAACAATCATGGGAGAATAGAAGGGCTGTGTATGCACAGGAAGACAGCTCAGGGAGCAGGAGTGCATGGAGGGAAGGTGCAGTGTAGTAATTTACATAGTGTGGTTTTTCTAGCTATAAGTCTTTGTAAACTCCATGGTGGAATTTGCTGTGAGCAACTGAGTAGTTCCTGATTGTTAAAGTTATCCACCTGGGGTATTTCTGTTGGGAGCAGCACAAAGTAATTTTCTGGGAAGTTCACTCTCTCTCAGGTGTTTAGAATTATGATGTTGGGATTGGTTAGTTTGGCTACTCTGTCAGGCTCAAAAGGAGCCCTCCTGCAGGCAGAAGGAATCTCTCATTGCTGACTGAGAGATGCGAGAGACAAGCATTGCTGAGAGAGACCTTGAGAGAAATGTGCTAGTGAGAGAGACCTCAAGTGACACGCGCTGCCAAGAGTGACACTGAGAGACACGCACTGCTGAGAGAGACTGAGAGTTGAGGGATGGCAGGCAGAGAGCGACTGAGTGTGTTCTTGAAATTGAATTGTAGCCTGTTGCTTCCCTAATAATCCCCATAATCTGTGAGTTCTGTGTGGCCACTGCAGCGAATTATTGAACCCAGCAGAGAGGTGGTGGGTGCTATGGGAGGAATGGTTGGTGTTAGGGTTGGTGAAAGGGCTGGAGGGAGGCAGCATGTCTGGCCTCACAGGAATAGGCCTTGGGCTACTGATGGTAATTCTGTATTCCTCTTGTGGGGTAAGAAGAGGTCAGAAGATGGCACCTCCCTGCCCCTTTGGCAGAAGGATACAGAGAAGAGGTAACTATGGGGAGGAAGTGGGGGGGGGAGCTGTTGCATTGTGGTAAATTGTAGTCAATGTCATGAGACAAAGTGTATGTGAGTTGCTGTGTGGAAAGTGAATTTTCTCTGTAAATTTTCACCCAAATTACACACACAGACACACAGACACACACAGAGTACCTTTTTCAAAGGATATCCTATAATTCTGGCAGTCTAAGATTTAGTGAACATATCTGTATTCATATTAAGTCTTGGCCCTATGTGTACCCATGAACTATGTGAAGATTACAATATAGTGAATATAAGATAAACACCACCAAATACCCTTGGCTGAACTATGCATTTGAAATACCTGGCATAAACTAGAGAAGCAATACCAATGTCACTGGTATTTCAAATACCAGCAGAGTCACACATGGTGGACAGATTTCAGCGGAGCTTCCATACTAAGAGAGACTAAGGAGGACCTGGCAATCTACTAGTGAAAAGAACTGGCCAGTAAAAACATTATGAATAACACAGGAACACTGACTGATATAGTGCTGGAAGATGAGCCCCTCTGGTTGGAAGGCACTCAAAATACAACTAGGGAAGAGGTGCCTCCTCAAACTGAGTTGACCTTAATGATGCAGATGCAGTGAAGCTTTTGGAAGCTCAATTTGCTGATGTGGCATATCTCAAAATGAGAAGAAATAGACAAACATCCATTAAAAATTGGAACATGGAATGTATGAATTATCAATCTAGAAAAATCAGAAGCTGTCAAAAACAAAATGAAATGCATAAAGATCAATATCCTAGGCATTAATGAGCTAAAATGGACTGATAGTGGCCATTCTGAATCAGACAATCATATGTTCTCTATGTTGGGAATGACAAATTGAAGAACAGCACATATTCAATTGTCAAAAGGAACATGTCAAGATTGATCCTGAAGTGCAATGCTATCAGTGATAGGATAATATCCATTAAAAACAAAATAAAACTGGGAGCTCTGGTGGCGTAGTGCCTAAGGCATTTGACTGCTAATCAACAGGCTGGCAGTTCAAACCCATCAGCCACTCCTTGGAAGGAAGGTCGGGCAATCTCCTTCCTCAGTGATATCACCTTAGAAACCCAAGGAGGGGTTGCTAAGAGTCGGAACGGTTTCGATGGCAATGTGTTGCGCTGTGTTATAAGAAAAACTAGTTAATATGACTATTATTCAAATTTATGCACTAATGCCAAACATGAATTAAGATTTTTACCAACCTTTGCAGTCTGAAAATGATCAAACATGTAATCAAGAGGCGAAATTACTCATGACTGGAACAGGAAAAGCTGGAAACAAGGAAATAGGACTGGAGTTGGAAAATATGGCCTTGGTGATGGAAACAATGCCAGAGATGACATGATAGAATTTTGCAAGACCGATGACTTATTTGTTGCAAATACCTTTTCAATAAAGGTAACTATACACATGTGGTCCTCACTAGATGGAATGCACAGGACTCAAATCAACCACATCTATGAAAAGAGACAATGGAGAAGCTCAATATCATCAGTCAAGACAGTGCCAGGGGCCAAGTGTGGAACAGACCATCAATTACTCCTATGCAAGTTCAAGTTGAAGCTGAAGAAAATTACAACAAGTCTACAAGAACCAAAGAATGACCTTGAGTATATGCCACCTGAATTCAGAGACCATCTCAAGAGCAGATTTGACACACTGAACACTAATGACCAAAGACCAGATGAGTTATTGGATGATATCAAGGGCATCGTACATAAAGAAAGCAAAAGGTCATTAAAGAGACAAGAAATAAAGAAAAAGCTAAAATGGATGTCAGAAGAGACTATGAAACAATCCTCTTGAATGTAGAATAGTTAAAGTGAATGGAAGAAATGAAGTAAAAAGGCTGAAGAGAAGATTTCAAAGGGCAGCTACAGAAACAAAATAAAGTATTATAATGGTATGTGCAAATACCCGAGTTAGAAAACCAAAAGGGAAGAACATGCTTGGCACTTCTCAAGCTGAAAGAACTGAAGAAAAAAATTTAAGTCTTGAGTTGCAATACTGAAGGTTTCCAGGGGCCAAGTATTGAAAGATGCATAAAGCATACAAAAAAAAAAAAAAAAAGATGGAAGGAATACACAGAGTGACTGTACCAAAACGAATTGATCAATATTCATTCATTTCAGGAGGTACCATATAATCAAGAACTGATGATGGTATTGAAGGAAGAAGTCCAAGCTGCACTGAAGGCACTGGCAAAAAACAAGGCTCCAGGAATTGATGAAATACCAACTGAGATGTGTCAACAAATAGATGCAACACCAGAATCACTCACTCATCTATGCCAAGAAATTTGGAATACAGTTACCTGGTCTACTGACTAGAAGTGATCCATATTTCTGCCCATATTGAAGAAACAAAGTCCAGGAGAATGTGAATATTATCCAACAATATCATTAACATCACACACTAGTAAAATTTTGCTGCAGATAATTCAAAAACGTTTGCAGCAGTATATTGACAGGGAATTTCCAGTTTCAGAAGAGGATGTGGAACGGGGGATATCACTGCTGACAAGGATCATAAGCATACACCAAGAGACAGTCGTTTGAACAGAACAAGGAGATACTGCATGGTTTAAAATCAAGAAAGGTATGCATCACAGCTGTATCCTTTCACTGTATTTATTCAACCTGTATGCTGATCAAATAATCTGAGAAGCTGGGCTATATGAGAAAGAATGACACATCAGGATTGAAGGAAGACTCATTAATACCTGGTGATATGCAGATGACACAACCTTAGTTGCTGAAAGAGAAGAGGACTTGAAGCACTGACTGATGAAGATCAGACATGCCTTCAGCATGGATTACACCTCAACATAAAGAAAACAGATATTCTCAGAACTAGACCAAAAAGCAACATCACAATTAATGAAGAAAAGATTGAACTTGTCAGATCAAAAATTTCATTTTTTACTTGGATTCACAATCAATGCCCATGGAAGCAGCAGTGAAGTAATCAAGTGATGTATTACATTGGGTAAATCTGCTGCAAAAGCCCTCTTTAAAGTGTTGAAGAGCAAAGATGTCACTTTGAAGACTAAGCTGCACCAGACCCAAGCCATGGCATTTTCAATTGTCTCATATGCATGAGAAAGGTGGATAATAAATAAGGAATACCGAAGAATTAATGCCTTTGAATTATTGTGTTGCTGAAGAATATTGAATGTTTCACGGAGTATCAGAAGAACAAACAAATCTGTCTTGGAAGAAGAATTCTCCTTAGAAGCAAAGATGACTAGCCTTCATCTCACATACTTTGGACATGTTATCCGGAGGGACCAGTTTCTGAGAAAGACACATCATGCTTGGTAAAGAAGAGGGTCAGTGAAAAAGATGAAGATCATCAGTGAGATGGATTAACACAGTGCATGCAACAATGGGCTCAAATATAACAGTTATTGTGAAGCTGGCACTGGATGGGCAGTGTTTCATTCTATTGTATACTGAGTCACTATGAGCCAGAACCAACTTGATGACACCTAACCAACAACATAACTGAATCTGACCTCCAAAAAAAGAGAGAAACATAATCCTAGAAATACATTTAAATGCTTTTACTTTCTCAGAACATAAGTCTGTATTATGGAGGAAAAAAACAAAAAACCTAAAAAAGAGTACAGCTTCATTTATGCCAGGGAAAAAGTAACCTGC